GATGTAGTGAAAAGAAGGGCCATATGCACCCCAATGTTCATAGCAGCAATGTCTGTAATAGCCAAAGTGTGGAAAGAGCCGAGATGCCCTTCAACAGGTGAATGGATAAAGAAGTTGTGGTCCATATATACAATGGAATATTACTCAGCCATCAGAAAGGATGAATACCCAACTTTTACATCAACGTGGATGGGACTGGAGGAAATTATGCTGAGTGAAATAAGTCAAGTAGAGAAAGTCAATTATCGTATGGTTTCACTTATTTGTGGACCATAAGGAATATCATGGAGGTCATTACGAGAAGGAAGGTAAAAATGAAGGGGGAGAAATTGGAGGGAGAGACGAACCATGAGAGACTTTGGACTCTGAGAAACAAACTGAGGGTTCTAGAGGGGAAGGGGTTGGGGGATGGGTTAGCCTGGTGATGGGTATTAAGGAGGGCACATACTGCATGGAGTACTAGGTGTTATATGAAAACAATGAATCGTGGATCACTACATCAAAAACTAATGATGTATTGTATGATGACTAACATAATAAAAGGAAAAAAAAAAAAGCAATAGACACTCATTTCCCACCGTTCTGTATTCTCGGAAGTCCCAGATCAAGATTCAGGCAGATTTGGTGTCTGGAGAGCACCTGTGTCTTAGCCCATCTTTTCCCTTTCACCTCACATGGGGCCAGGGGGCAGGGAATTTTCCCAGTCCTGCTGTATAAGGGCACTAATCCCATCATGAGACTGCACCTTCCTGACCTAAGTGCTTCCCTAAGGCCCCACCTCCTCCTCCCATAACATTAGTGTTCTGTTTCATCATGGGTATGCTAGAGGTTGCACACTTTGAGCTGATATCAGCAACTGAAGGATCAATTAGTTATTCTCTGCAGGTGGGAGTTTCCTCCAGTGGACCACTCAACATGAGGATTCCCATGTATTCACTGGAAGTTTCTGGTCTCTGTGTGCACACGGTGAACACAAGACCTTCAGAACCAGCTGTTGACCTTGGGGAGTGGACAGCTTCTACTGCAGACACTGGGTATGACTTTGGTCTATTTCTATGATCATTTTATAATTTCAGCTGCTTCTATGGATCATTCTTACTTTGCAAGGATTCTGACTGCTTCTACTTAGAATGGCAATTTTTCTCTTTTGTTCTCCAAGTTTTCATATTGTTTAGTAGAATTAGTCATCATACCATATGCTTTTATTACTGCATGCTAGTCCTTTTCCTTCATTCGTCCCTTTTCTCCTCAGAGCCCACATAGGGGATATCTAACAAGATCCCATAGATTTGCCCTCCTTTGATGCAGCTGGGAGATTAACTCCACACCAGCCCCTCCCATGAGCAGGACTCCTTCGCCCCAGTGACCCACAACATACACCCTCTCCAGTGTACTTCCCTGGACCTATCCAAGCATTTATGCTTTGCTGAGAGGACTGCCCCGTTCTCAGCAGACAAGATGATGAAGGTGATAAAGGTTTTATATGTGTGTGTGTGTGTGTGTGATCATCAGACTCCACATCTACACCACACCTGGAGGGGGAGGGGGAACCTCTGCTTTCCCACGCTATCACTAATATTGATGCCATGAACATGGTTCAAGACAGTGTTCACACCAGATATTTTTCTTCCCTTGCTTTGGATTATTGATGCTGCTGTAGCCTCATGTCCAGCATGCACTTTATGCTGCTTCTAACAAGCTTTCACATTAAGCTGGGTGGTCCTGTGATGCACAGGGATTGCTGCTGGGACTTTTCTAAGGTTCAGTGGAGGTACATGGAGATATTTGTAATTTATTCCTATTTAGAGACAACAGTAAGCAAGTGTAAGCAAATCTGTGCTTTGTATGTATTAGAATAGTTTTTTTCCTATTAAAACAAAGTTTCAAATCAGAGAATGAATAGGTAAGCACAGAATCATGTGAACAGGGAGTCTCCCTGGGGGAAACAGCTATATATGGAGAGGAAGGCCCAGACTCTGACAGGAAGCCTGCCCATAACCTCCATCTGCACCTGCTCCTGGGGCTTAAAGACAGAATTGGGGAGTAGTGTGCAGACCCTGGTGGTCCAGATCACCTCCTACAGGGTGGTTTGTGTCTGGGCTCACACTGACTTCCCCTCACTGTGTCCTTCGCACAGTAATACACAGCCGTGTCCTCGTCTCTCAGGCTGTTCATCTGCAGATACAACGTGTTCTTGCCATTGTCTCTGGAGATGGTGAATCGGCCCTTCACAGAGTCTGCGTAGTATGTGCTACTTGCATCAGATCTAATATATTCGACCCACTCCAGCCCCTTCCCTGGAGCCTGGTGGACCCAGTTCATGCTGTAGCTACTGAAGGTGAATCCAGAGGATTCTCAGGGACCCCCCAGGCTTCACCAGGTCTCCCCCAGTCTCAGGGGGACCCCCCAGGCTTCACCAGGTCTCCCCCAGTCTCAGGGGGACCCCCCCAGGCTTCACCAGGTCTCCCCCAGTCTCCACCAGCTGCACCTCAGACTGGACACCTGCAGACAAAAGACATCCTGGTCAGGAAACTGTCACACAACCACTCTTCCTCTCACTCACATACACTCATACAGTCAATGTCTCTTGTTCACCATAAATTACCTTTTAAAAGAGCAACAAGGAAAACCCAGCCAAGTACAAACTCCATGGTGAGTTGTCTGTGTTCTGTCCTGATCACTGAATGGGAACACTTGGGGATCCCGGGGCTGGGGCTCCTCTCACAGCTGCAAGGGTTGGGGCTCAGCTGGTTTAATCAGCAGAGGGAGGACCCTATTTGCATGTCCTCTGAATATATATTCAATTTGGGATCTATGCTGACAGAGAAGGCAGTGTCCAGAGCAGGTGTGACTGTCGTTGATGTGGTGCTATTGATCACTTTTGTGAAAAATATCATTTACTATTTGATAACTTTCCAATGTATATTCTTGGCCTCCATGTACTACTTTGTTTTTACATGTAAACATCAATCTTGGGGTTTAGGTGTCATGTTCGCCCTTAAGTGATGTGAACCTACACCTAGAATTGTGGAAGGTTTGTGAGTTGTCCAAGAGCATTCATGGGGTGAGAGTGAGCACCAGGATATAAGTCGGTGCTCCTTCCACAGTACTGTGCTGCACCCCTTGGGACAGAATGGGCAGGCTCATGAGGAAGGTGGAACCCCTCCTGTAATGGGGACAGAATGCTGGTTCTACAGTTTACCTGAAATGCAGAGAGAATCAGGATTGTGAAGGTGTAATTTCAAGTCTCTCAAATTTTACTCTATCTGTGTTCCTCCAGAATCATCTCTGTGATTGCCTATAATAGCTTCGATGTGTGTACTTGTCACAGGATGAACTACACACATGCAGAGTGTGGGATATGATAAGCACTGGTGTCAAAATCAATATTATCAAGAGTGAGCACATCAGTTCTCCCTAAAATGTCCTGTACTTATCTTGGAATTCCTCCTCCCTCTTTCCTTCTTCACCCTGTCCCCACATAACTATTGATCTTTCTCATGTCACCTTAGACTAGCTTTAATTTTGTAGAATTCATAAACAGAAAATTGTATCATATGTACTTTCTTTGTAGGGCCTCTTTGGCTCAGCATGAATCCTTGTGCGTACAACCGTGTTGCTGTGTGTATCAGGAATCATTGGTTTTAATGACTGGCAGCCCTGAAGGCACAGTCTCAGAAGCACCAGCCAGAGGAGCATCTGAAGCAGCTGAAAGAAGCTGCTTGCTTCAAGGCTCACTCACACACCCTCTTATCCCAGAAGCTCTTGGTTCCCAGAAGGAGATACAATCCCTTGCTGTTTAGTAACATTTTCTGGTGGCTGTGGAGAAGAGAACCAAGAGGCAGAGTAGGTGGACAGGAGAATGTTGAGGTAGAAGCTCTGAAAGTCCTGTCGATGGAAGGGTCCAGGAACTCAGTTGAAGAGCAGTGAGGGAGGAAGTGGCCATGTTGCAGAAGAAACCTGTGCACAAGAAAATCCAACCCTCAGGTACCAGGGTGTGGAAGTTAGTCATGTTCAGCCTCTGACTGTGCCCGTATGTCCCATGTTCTGCGCTAGATTCCACTGCTAACCTCAGCTCTGGGCTGCAGGCTCCACCTGGGCACAGGAGTGGCTCTTTACTTCAAATCAGGAACCTTCTTTCTGTGTCACCAGGGCATGGAGATGACCCATTTCTGCAGCCACACCTCCCCACACCCCACAGAGCATACCTGACACATATCGACTCTCCTTTTGTTGAGAACTGTTTTCCTACAATACTGAGGCTCATAAGGAGGCTCCACACATGTGTGTCTCCTACTGACTCCAAGTACCTATTTACTTTGAGCCATTGTAGACCTTGACTGTGGGTTTTAACTCTGACTACAATGTAAAGTCTCTGTATCAGGACAGTGCAAATCTATTGCCCCTCTGTCCCCCTCCCAGTTTTCTATTTTAATCATGAAATAAGGACCATTAATCACTAAGTTAGTATGCATAGCATGTCTTTCCTGAGGAATAATATTGTGTATCATATTCTGTCCTCTTCTTTGCACAAATTGAATTTAGAGCAAAGGAGACAGGCACTCCAGTGGGGACAAATCAGTTACTGTACAACCAGGAAGAAGACCGTGTGGACCCACAGGGAGCCTCCCAGCAGCCATGTCATGCTTTGGGGCAGAGCTGTTGTGAAGACACATTCTTCCCTTGTAAGTGCTGATGATAACAGGGAACACTGTGCATTACACTCACACGTCAGTCCTCCTGTAAACTGGAGTGGATGCCAGATATTTGATTCCCCTCCCTGATTATGTCTCATGATGTTTTTAACTCTGTTAGCCCCTTTGTAGGTCACTTCTTATTGGGGAAAGTGGGTAGTTTGAGAGGAGGAGTGTCCAGGAACTCTGGAAAGCACAGATTCTCTCCTTAGAGGAACATGTGCTACAAGCGTTTCCTGTCCATCCCTGTTTTGTTAGCTTCCTCCCAGGATCCACTCGGGAAGGCAACCATGTGTTCTTGGCCTTCACACAGGCCTGTGCCTTTTTCACGAAATGTGCTTTATTTCTCATCTGCTAAACATCCTCATAAGACTTGGTTCAGCTCAAGGAAAATCTTTCTCAGAAGTGTTTCCTTGACCGCCTGTCCTCCTCAGATAAGGATGCTCACTCACTTCTTTGTGGCTCCCAAATGCTCCCTGTGTGCATGTCATGTAAGTTAGTAAACCTATCTTATATTCTTTCCACTAGATCATTCAGTGAACCTTGTGAACAGGCCATTGTAGAGTCAGTGATGATGACAAAGTATGATTTCCAGAGCCCTGGGCCTCCTGAAGTCCCACAAATAGATGCAAAATGCAGTTCCTTTATTCCTTTCCCAGAAGTCTAAGGTACATTTCCATAACTGCTTATGTAATTCATTAACAAATATTTATTTGGTTCTAACTGCACAAACGATGGCCCTGCTTAGTCCCTGTGAATACAGCAATGAACAGAAATAGAACTTGCCTTCATGGGGCTTACCTATGAGGAGGGAAGACACACCATAAGCAAGTACCCATCCTCTCTTCCTCCACATGGTAAGATTCTCTTGCTGACTGTGGTAGGAGAATAGGTGGGCATGGGATAGGGACATGGGAATTTGAAATCAGGCAGGTGAGGAGATTCTTGCTGGTGTCCAAATGAGAGTTGATAGGAGCTCAGTCCAGGGTGGCAACAGTGAAGAGGTTGGAAACAGTTGGATTCTGAGTGTGTCTTGAACTTGTAACTGGCAAGACTTGCTGACTAACTGGCCATAGAGTGAGATAAAGATAAAGAGGTAGTTAAGGAAGGCACCCAGCTATCAGCCCCAGAGACTGAGGTCTCCATCCTTTGTCCTGTGAGAAACCCAGTTCCACCCCAAGCCTCATATCTCTTGTGAATTCCTGGAGTGCTTTCTTTGTGTCTGGTCATCTCTGGCTTTGCTCTTTGTCTTTCTGTCCATCCTTTGGTCCCCTCTGTATCTGTCTGTCCTCTGTAGCAGCTTGTGCTCCCCCACCTTGTATTAGTAGGTTTCTGATGGTTCAAATAATTCATAAATTTCCCTCTGGTATCATTTTCATAATGTATTTTGCCCATTTTCTGTTTTTGGTTGATTCGGGTAGGAGATTACCCAGCCATTAGATAGGATGAATACCCATTATTTTTATCAACATGAATGGAAATGGAGGACATTATGCTAAGTGAAATAAGTCGAGCAGAGAAAGACAATTGTCATATGGTTTCACTCATATGTGGAACATAAGAAATAGCATGGAGGACACTGGGAGAAGAAAGGGAAAAATGAAGCAGGGGGAAATTATAGGTGGAGGAGAACCATGAGAGACTAGGACTCTGGGAAATAGACTGAGGGTTTCAGAGGAGAGGAGGGTGAGTGGATGGGTTGGCTGGTGATGGGTATTAAGGAGGGCATGTATTGCATGGAGCATTGGGTATTA